AGAATTTTTGGTTAGATATTTTAGCAAAGACGATCTAAGAATTTTCGTCGTGTCTTTTGATGCGTTTTAATAAAGGCCAACGAGGAAGGCGAAGCCGTGTGATGGAAAAATTAAAAAAGTTCATAAAATAATGTGTAATGAGATGCAAAAATGGTATCTCACCCTAAAATACATCTGTTAGATACTTCAAAATAACAGTGGTTCAGGTGGTGGTGGTGGTAATTAAATTGATTAAATTATGATACATATTGCAAATGTATTTTAATTTAAATAAAAATTTAATAATTGTTTCCAAAATATCTTAAATATCTGATATTGAAGTAAGTGTCCCCCATTATCGTTACTAACTTTATTACGAAAAATGTATATTTATATTATACCTTATAAATTATAGGTAGGTAGCATCTATTATTTATTTATTATTAGCTGGATAATTCATATCAATCATAAATAAGTAGGTTTATTGACTATTGCAAATTCTATTTTCTTCTTACACAATCAAACAATGATTACCAAGTAGCGCAATGTAATCAGTAGTGAAGTCTCTAAAAAGTGCAATAAATTACAAATAACATCAAAAATATCTAACTGTTTATATTTACAGCTGCATAAAATTATGTACAGATATTTTAATATTCCTGTTAGATGACTTCGTTTCATTAAAACGGTGTATATGCCCACATAATATCAAATATAGCATATCGGTTATTTGAGAAATTGTTTTCTAATATTTTTAAAACGTTAGTATGGTCTTCGCAAATTACAAAATTAATCTAATAAGTTTAACTTAGTTAATCTGAAGCAGAAAATCCTGTAAAGTACAATAAGGATAAAAAGTATAGAAGGTAGAAAGATATGGAAAGAAGGGAATAAAATATATCTCCTAAAAATAAACACAAAATAAGTTTCTGACAAATTTATATAAAAACACTTTCAGGCCAAAGTGTGTATATGTGTGTATATATTATGTAATTTGACCAACCAAAGCATTGACAAATTGTCAACTGACATTGAAACTTTAGCACATATATACAGACGAGCAAAAGCTAAGGTAAAGACTTATGAAACTTCTCCAGAATTTCCCACTACTAGAGGCGTCTGACAAGGAGACGCAATATCACCAAAGCTCTTCACTAAAGCTCTAGAAAATATATTCAGCAAAATGAACTGGAATAGCAAAGGAATGTCCATTGATGGAAAATACCTCAGCCATCTAAGATTTGCAAACGATATCGTTCTGATTGCTAATAATCCTGCAGAACTACAAGAACTTATAAGCGACCTAAATGCAGCTAGCAATGAAGTTGGCCAAAACATAAACTTGGCAAAAACAAAAACCATGTACAACGAGCTAATGGATGTCGTGGGCAAATACGAAGAATGAATATGTAAGGGAGGCTACTGAGAATGATGATAACGATGATGATATGTAATTGTGTCCAGCAGAGACATATTTGGCACAGAAAGATAAAAATTGGCATCATTTTTGGCATGCTGTTATTGCTACAAAGTTAATCAATAGTTGTAAACCTTTCTAACAAAGGAAGAGATAAGGGTTAAAATATCGGCTAGTTGAGAAAACCGTAATTTAATTATTGAGAAGATAAAAGAAAGGGTATTTCCTTATCAGATTGAGGACATTACAAGAATATATGATTTGGATATGACAATTTTGTTTATCACAAGTACAGTTAGGTGAGTCTATTTTTGATATTATATAAATGAGCAGCAGGAATAGCAGTCATTTTTTACCTACTTCTCTTAACCACTTATATAAATAAATCTATATGTATTTATCTATAAAATCTTCCTATCTGCTCTTGATATTTCTATCTTTATTTTTACCATTTTCTTCGCTGCTGTGATGCTATTTATTTTAATTTCATTGTTATACTTTTTTTTATATATTTTGCTTTAACAACTTGGGGTTTTTAGCATAAAAAAATACAAAAAGTAATTAAGACATACATAGGCATATACAAAATATCAATTACATAATAAGGTATACAATATATATTTTAATTATGGATGTATTGTGTTCAATTTTATTAAAAACGTTTATAGATTTTAAGAAATGTATCAAGACAGCTACGTATTAGAAGTTCTTTTAATGTTTTTGGAATGTTAATGTGGTGATTTAGTCTTTCAACTGAGAATTTTGGACAGTCAATCAAAATGTGCTTCATCGTCACTTTACATTCACAGACAAAACATTCTGGTTCCTATTCTCTCTTCAACAAGTATTCATGTGTGTTGTAACATGTTTGTGTAAAAAGGACGGAAGATTTTATTTCCATCAATTTAGTGGTGCTGCTATTCCATTGGTGTTGCCAAACATCATGCAATTTTGCTTTTAAGTAAGGTTTTAAATCTAAATGCACCGTTAGATTTTCCACTGATGCGGCTGTACTGGTTACTGTGGATCTAGCTAGACTATCTGCCTTTTCGTTACCATCTATTCCAACGTGTGACGATACCCAAAGAACTCTACTATCAAATTGTTTTGGTATATCCTGTATAAATTTAACTTAATATGCTGTAATGTTGGATGAAAAGAATAAATCTGAGAAATTGATGTCAGACAACTTAGTGAATAAGATATTATAAGAAATTTGGAAAGTTTTTTTTCTAGAATAAAGTTTAGGGCCTTGTACGTAAGAACATGGAGAAAGTGAGTTTTAAAACAATTGGTTATCACGTTATTTTTGTTATAATATGCTGTAAGTTTAAGGTTACAAAGTGGAGAGGGAAACAACCTAAGGAAAACATAAATTGATTTTTACAGGTAAGATAAATAGGAGGTAGTTCAATATTAAAATCATCCTCCTCCTCCTCAATATTAAAGACCTCCTGGAATCTGTTAGCAACAGGTTCCAGGATAAACATACGATAGAGTTAAGTATTTTCTTCTTAGGTTTAAGGGTGGCTCTATTGTTACACTTTATTGTTTCAATATGAACTGTTCTTATTGGTTTTGTTAAATTTTTATTTCATTGTTTATGTTATAGGTACAATATGGCTGACACGTATGTGTCCAAATAATTTTTCCATTTCCGATTCCTTTTATGCGTGCTTTATTAAATAATAAGAAAATAATAAAAATCGTATTTCTCTTATACAGTACTTAAACAGATGTTTAACAATCGTTTATTACAAAATATTTTACCAGTTAACAAAACATATTTTGCATACTAATGAAAATATTCAATTTTAAGTTTTTAGGCCTCAAACTGTTAGCAGACCTAAATTTTATCACCTACACTCTAAGCGTAATAAATGAATCTATTAGAATAAAATGCGTGGTGAAATTCCTTGAAATTTAAATATTAAATTGTTCTTCTAATTGATCTTATGACACAGTTATAACCGTTAAGGATTCATCTTTGGTGGTATTATAAAAATATACGCATAACATTTAGAATTTAGGCGATAAATTAAAAAATAAAATTAAATTAAGAAAAAGTAGATCTTTCATGTAATAAAAAATGCAAATCAATATGATCGTGATATAAAATTAGCTATGAGAATTGTTCAATAATAAATAGATTTAAAGAAGTCAAGACAATTTTTTTTGTTCGTGAATAAAAACTTTTTTGTTCGTGTAAATACTGAACATTTGTATAAGAGTATCGAGATCATAACTCGATGATTCTGAATGCTCGAAATATCAATTTACAGCAGCGAAAAAACTCTGTCTACTCATCATTGGGGTGTTGACGAAGACTCCTTGCTTCAGATTATAGATGTCTTATTCGTTCTACAATAGACTACTGCAGTTTCATTTATATGTCAGCTAACCCATCAGATTTAAAACTTAATTCTGTACACAACACGGCACTTAGATTCTGTCTTGGAGCCGTCAGGTCGAGACCTGGTCTCGAATCTCAGATAAATACCGAAAACTCAGCTTATAAATTATTAAGTAATGAACTTTTAAACTCTCCTTCTCTTATTAACTTCAATTATGCCACATATTCCTCTCCCCACATCTGAATAATATCGATCTTTCAACCACAACTCCAATAATAATATCATCTAAACTTCCCTGGAATATATTGATAGAAGATTATTTTAATCAGGGCAAACCTTTAAAGAATGAATTGCTAACAACAGATTTGACCTAATTTTACACACAGATGCTTCTAAGAGTCCTATAGCTTTTGGATGTGCTGTAACTTCAAACATAAATTTAATCGTATCTTCCAATTTCCTGCACTTCTGCTACATATATACTGCTAAATTATTCTCTATTCTCCAAGCTACAAACTTACTATCTCCACAATATACATAAGTAGCAATATGTATAGACTCTTTAGCATCTATCTAATTCTGAGTGTAGACTATGGAGACTATTCAGTCTATGGAGACTGAAAACATACAACTGCATACAGATATCTAACGTGATCTAGATACAGACGAGTTTTAACTCATATCCGACGTATAGCAGACGCATATCAGACGTATAGCAGACGTATATCAGACGTATATCAGACGTACATCAGACGTATAGTAGACGTATAGCGAACGCAATCTAACGCCTAACAAAAGCAATCTAACTCATATCAGACGTGTAGCAGAAGAGAAAAATTATTTTAAAACAATGATAAGTTATACCTTTTAATTCGAAACTCGCAGTGATGTAATAGGGACATTATGTAACAAGGGAATCCCTGAATTACAAAGGCTCACTTTACTGACATCTGGATGTGAATAGTTAATATTTAATTATAATAGTTAATGATAGAATTTTTTGGATGAAATACAAACTGCACGACCTTAAAATCGTATAAAAATAATCGGCATAAAAAGAGACCTTACTGTATATATAATAATTTCGTCTGTGAACTGACGTCTTAATATGAATCTTAGATAGCAACTGAGTTGTAAACTTTTTTCTCCATTTTTTACATTTTTATAATACTAATACCTTCCCTTTAGATAATTTTTTATAGCTATTATTATGCAACAAAAATAATAGTTTAAATGTAGCAAATACTCACCAACTGCCACAAGTGCACTAATCCAAAAACATAGCAGCCAAAAGTTTACATAAGATACCATTTTTCGTTCATCAAAAATCGTTTATCGACCATTTGATGGTTTTACTCTTCAACCGTTTCACATCACTTCACAAAAATCGCGCACCGTTGAACACTCTATTTCACAAGGAATTCCTTTAATGTATTTTAATTCAATACACCAGTTACTTCGATCATGACAGTTAGTCGGGAAGGTAAAATAACTATTTCTTTATGTAATTAGCCGGCAGGATTTCCTTAATGTTATTTCCTGAAACAATAAAATAAAATAAGTTAATTAACATGGAATAACAGTTAATTAATGAGTCACTTTTTAACTTTTTAAAGGTTTTGTTACGTACAGAGACTTCCAAACAAGTAGAAAAACCAAGTAAACTAACTTTGGTTTATTCGTTAAACGTCCCCATTTTAATTCCCACTTTTGAATAATTTAAATTACTCTTCAATTCGAACATAAGTCAAAAATTACAACAGATTTATTATGTGGGTACAGTTTTTAAACAGTACAGTATAAGTTTGTTCTCCCACTGCAGATAAAGATAGACAAGAAATCGAAAAGTTATACCATCAAATCGACTTATGCAACGAAGACTGTAGTAAGTCATTTTAGATAGAATTAGATAGAAATTAGAATTTAGATAGAAAATTAATATAATTAAAATATAAACACTGGTTAGCAGTATCTAAAATATTCAAAAATAAACTGTTGAAAAGTTTGTCACCAAAAAATTATATTTTTTCTTAATATATTCTGTTTTTTATATGTATTACCATGCTACTATTGTATTACTAGATTCGTCGAAACAATTAAGGGAAAAAATGAGATACGATTTAAAAAAAAAGAAGTTAGTCTTCGTAAGTGGGTATATTTATTTAAAAACCCTTAAAAGGGCTACATCAAAAAAACAAACGTTTTCGGACTAAACAGTCCATCATCAGGTTTAAAATCGCTAGGTTAAAATGCCTGAGCCACCAAAAATACATGTGTAAAAACCCTTTAAATTACATATAGTTATAAAAGATTATACATCTTGTTGTTAAAAAACTGTGATGTTCAGTATTCAGTATTTTTGGATGCCAACATAATGTGGAAAATATACAGTTAACAGCAAAATAACAATATTTCAGTGACTTAAAACAATATTAGGTGAACATTTAATACTAAAAATTAATTAGATTTCTAAAAGATAACATCTTTATATAATTAATATAATGTACATAATGTAAACTAATGTCGCTAATGACCCAGGTGTTGAAGCGACTATTATTAGTAAATAAAAAAAAAACGTATATCCTTAGGAATTTTATTGTATTTGAGATATTACAGTTTAAAATATCTTTAAGTTTCTTTGCTTCTTCCGGTACCTACCCAAACTCATCTTTTGCAGATTCGCTGCTACCAGAACTTAGAGTCTTGATGTATATCATTCTTTATCTGAGTTTCCTTTTTGACCGTAAAAAGAAGTTATGATACAAACGCGGTATTAAAGGTTAATCACCTGTGTAAAGCTCTAATAAACCTTTCAATGTCTTACTATCAACAGGTAGAGAAGAAGTATAAAATTTTGGCAACAGCTCAAGATAGAAAGCAATTTGCTGTAGTTATAGCCAACCTGCAGTAATGGAGAAGGCACTGGAACCACAATGGAAAAAGAAGCTTCTTTATACACATTTTTCAATTTTCTGACTGCCACTTTGATAGCTAACTGTTGATCATATTTTCTTGCAATTTCAATTTTATGTCATTATCAACATCTGTATAACCCGTGCTTAGTTGACCCTGATCCTTTTTTGGTTTAAAGAATGCTCTATTCAATTCTGAGTTGAAAATTTCACGATATTGCCGTTCACTTGCAATCTGTACTGAAATGATTCCAATATGTTCTTGGTACATTCTGTACATTTTACCAATATTTAAACCATTTTCCAAATAAAATTTCTTTAAATGCTTTCTATTATAATGGAAAGGAACTAATGGAAAGAATTTAATATGACTTCTCACACTTTCCTTAATATCTTCTGAAATTGTATTGGGTTTTACAGTATGGCGTCCCCGCAATTCCATTGTTCTAAAGTTCTTTTATTATCAAGCAGACAATTATATTCTCTCATTAAATTCCATTGTCTGGTATGATCTGCTAGTCCCCAATAATTTTCAAATATGATGATTATGCAGCGAAGATTACAGTAACTCAACTTATTGCAGTTATCGTTGAAATTGTGGTATTTGAGATACTATAAAACTGAATTGTGTATTTTAAGTTGCCTATACAGCTGCTAGAGTTCCCGCAATATTCTATGTTACAGTTTCCGATTATACAAAAATTGAGTTACTACAGTTTTTGTTGTATGAGAATAGAGAAACTATAAACAATCAAGAAATACACAATAACAATAATTATAAGTGTTTTTAATGCTAAACTTGGAAAAAGGCTACAGATTACATTACTGACAACTTCGTTTTGCTTTGCGTTTTGAATTTTCGGGTGGTGGAAAGATTAGCCGCTGGTTAAACTAACGTTTCCAGGGAGGCCGTTGTTTGTATACTTCTTTGATCCTTTGTGATATAAAGACATTCGAGGAGGCTCCTTCCTTCATTTTCATTCTCATACATTTATAAATTTTAATTTGGTATAGTTTTCGGTTGCAGCCATATTTCCCAAGCATTGTGTTTTTGTTTCATGTAATTGTTTCTTGGTTCATTTTTTAGAACCAAATGAATTTGCCATCTACAATTTAGGATTTTTTTGATTATGATTATTTTTGAATTATTTTCTAATGACGAGGGGGCATTGGTGACTGTTATCATTATGTCTTATTGACACTTGGGGATATATTCCAGGGAACATTTACATTGGAATTTAGGACGATTGAGAAATTGTCTTTGTATGGATGAGTCGAGATACTGTCTTCACTCATCAGATGGGAGAGAAGGAGTATGGCGTCGAATTGCAAAGAGATTTGCAGGAGTGCGCTTTCAGTCCCCCCGTTAGTTATAGGGAGGGTTCGGTGATGGTATGGGCAGGAATATCCCAGAAGACGCACACTGAATTGGTATTTCTTGAGGGTTCTGTTACGATTTTAAATATTTTGGCGTATAAAACTGTAAATATATTGTGACTAATTCTTTTCTATTTGTAGTAATTTCGGCGCTCATAAATGTTACCTGCCGACAGAAAATACTAGACCCTTCGGATATCCACCTCAGGTATCGAATGCTGCCGGCGACCCAAATTCCAAATTTACCGGAAGGCGATCAGACTTTTCTAGATTAGTTGAATGAGTCATCTAGTTAATGAAACGATCGATGCATAGCCAGATATTTCGAGATAATAGCACTTTATATATAAATAACACGGAGCTTTTATTGAGGAAGTCACTAAGAAGATAAATTCGGGGCTCGCGTATTTAAATGTACGAACGTAATAAATAGTTGTACAGTTATTGAATAAATTGATAATAAATTATCGTGAGTTTTAATATATTAGAATAAAGACAATAAATTAGAACAATAAAAAATATAACAGTTTGATGACTGCATAAAGGTATATTGAGGAAATTTTAGCGAATCACGTAGTACCTTTTTTCAATATATCGGGGATGATTTTCTATTAATGCAAGATAATGCGCGACCCCACTCTGCAATGTGTGTCACGCATTATTTAGAGAAAGTTAGTATTAATAAAATGAACTGAGTAGCGTGTTCAATAGAGCACGTTTAAGACATGCTTGGTAAAAATATTAGAGGTCGCGAAGTCGCACTCAGCCTCAATTAACCAACTTCGCTTGTCTCTAGAAGAAATGGCAAAACATCCAGCAAGATGATATTCTCAACCTCATAGTTAACCAGTTATAGAGGCTAATGGAGGCAATACAAAGTATTAAGTTATTTTTTAGTAGTTTTTTCTTTGTTATTTGCGTACTTAAGTTACATTTTAGTTGTTTTTTTTATGTTTTGTTATTGTTCTGCGTTTAAAATTAATGATTTCCGAAGTGGAAATTGAAACGTCAATAAACATACTTTAACCTTTAATTGTAGTTTATTCCCATTTAAACAGTAATTAATTTAAAATAACACAAGAAAATAGCTTCAGAACAATATTGTTATCATTGTTCATTAAAACCAAGATCGTGTCGTTGGTTTTAATCATTATTTAAATACAGTACTTCTGGGATGTCGATATGACATTCCTTCGATATTAAAGCCCACATCGTCGTATTACAAATTAATAAAAAAGATAATGGTAATAATAGGAGAAGTCGTAAATGGTGTGTAGCAAAGGCATTTCGCTCGTATAAATGAACCAATCCATATTTTTACATGAAAGAAAAAACATAATACTTAGAAGACATGGTTGTAATCGAAAAATATGATTTTACGAAAATTCTCTAACGAAATTATTCACAGGATGTGTCAAAGTTAGGATAAAAACCCATCTTTCGATTAACCCCGTATAACAAGTTAAGTACAAAATTTTATTAAAAAACTCACTACATTAAATTAAAATTTATAAATTTTTTCACAGTGTGGGTAAAAAATCATCAGAATAAGGCTAAAAATAAAAAAACTGAAATACTTCGAATTTGACCAACATTTTGTGCACATCTGAATGTAGGTATGCCCATAAAAAGCTTAGCTAAACATAATTATCTTTGGCTTTAGCAACACGTAAGGAAGTTAATTCCATATAAAACCAGTAAATATATATTTATTTTTCTAATTTCTAAAGCCACTCACTTTTAAACACTCGGGTCACGCATAAATGAGCTATTCTTCTGCACCGAACATTTTAAACCACCCTCCTAGTTGTGATGAGCATAAGTTTCCAACCTCCATTCAATTTTGTCAGATTTATATCTATTCAATAAGCGTAAAAACCAATTTCCCCATCAATTCCCAGTGCAAACAGTTGCGAGTCAAAGTCAGCCGACCTGTCAAATTCGTATAAAAACTCGGCTGCGTTATTGGAAACAAAGGGAGAATTTGATACTATAAGAAATGATGATAATTTTTCGTCTACCAGCCTACCGAAGTGGATTTTATTCGAGTGAGTTTTTAATAAACCTATTTTTTAGTGTATTAAATTAATAAAAGTAATAATAATACTTTTAGTATTTTTTTGTATTCCTTAGATTAGAAAAATATTTCTTATACATCTATTTCAGTGATTTTCTGCTGTTTCACTCATCTGATATAAATTATAATTTTGGTAAAATGTCTAACAACTTTCTATATAAAATCCACACATA